AAGAGAGAGAGAGAGAGAGAGAGAGAGAGAAAGAGAGGGGGGAGGGGAAGGTTGCTCGTGCACGCGCCTGTTTGTGAGTACGGGTGTGTATGAGTGTGTGTTGATGTGTGTATTTGTGTGTGTGTTGGTATGTCTTTATCTGCGTGTTTATGAGTGTGTGATTGTGTGTATGTGTGTGTGTGTGTCTGTGTGTGTTTGGATATGTGTTTGCGAATATACAAGACAGAATAGGAAGACATAGTGTAACCCCTGGAGCATCCTGCTACATTTAAATCCATCTGCGGGAGGCCCATGCAAGAGTAAAGAAAAGCACATCGAGACGACAACGGTCATACTTGCCTAAGGGAAATCAAGTAAGACGCACAGACATAACAAAAGGATAGAGACAAGAAGAATGATCTGACAGTGGCACTTTAGTCACCTTTGAAGTCCGAGTAAAATACAGCCAAACAGTGAACGGAAAAACATGTTAAATGATGGAAAACACAATTATGTTTTTTTTTAAACAGAAACAAAAAAACAAAAACAAAAATACTCTGTCTTTACACAACATTGGAAATGTATCGACATGTCATTGGAAAGAAAGGCAAAATAGACGAAGAAAATGGCTCCATGCACTTGAATCTCTCTGTTCAATTTTTTTTTTTAACGCGTTGACACGACCTTGTCCTCCTGTCGTTTATGGTCTGAAAGTACATCTCTCTTCACACTCACTGAAAGAGTGCACTACTCTCAACTTGAGCATATAACGCTCCAAGATACATTTGTTTCAAAGAGTATGTCAAAGGTATTATCTAATTCTCTCCATTTATACACCAAAAAGATAAACATGACTGCTGTAAAGTCAAATGACCATGAGACTGGACGAGATACAATCACAGCAGCACCATCCCACTAGACCAGCATGCGTATAACATCTAATTTTGAGGAATAATATATTTTGCTTGTGAGACAAGAAACCGCAGAAAAGAGTTCACAATGAGTATATTATTACAAGTATATATGACAATAGGCGTGATATTCCCACTCTGAGCTTTTGCCAGATAGGATACATAGAGGTGGATATGTCAACAAAGGCCGGATTCAAATAGTTTGCTGCAGAAAACAGTTGTGTTCATTCGCGAATATATACAGCCAGAATAAGCCAGAATTGCACGTTCATGTAATGTTTACTAAAACATAACAGTGACATTCAATTATAAATTTCCATTATATATGCCTTCAATACTATAAGATGATATTCCTCTACTCTTTATATCCAAAACATGCAATGCTTGTTGACTTTTAGGTTCAAAATGTACGATTGTTTACTATTACATATTCAAATAAAGAAGTAGATGCAGAATGATATGTATCATTGCCTCGCTGAGTAACTGCAATAACACACGTTTTGGCTAAAATCAGGTTTGGAAGCCAAATTAAACAGAGGGCCACAGGGTACATTCCGTAAAAATCTGGGCCTTCAACTCACCAATACAACGTCAAATATGGCATTAAGAAATCTGGATGTAAGCTTGTGATTTCTACTGACATAATGTGTCAAGTTACCACAGTTTTCCATTATGGTTTAGTGACAAGAGTTATTAATTATGTCAGGTCTTTAAATATTTTCATGTCATATGTTGCATATGAAATGGCATTTTCAAAGTGGATTTTGGTCGTAACATGAGTCACTGCAGTATTCCATAAAGTCATGTTTTGGTCTCTCTTCCAGAAGTAAACTATGCACCACTTTTCTTGAGGGGTAGTTAAAGCTGTAAATATCTTGTAAATCTCTAAAATGCCATAAATTTGACAATGTTAATAAATTCTAGTTCTTTTATATTGCAACAGCATGCAGATGAGCATTCTACACACTGACTATGAGTGTGGCTCTTGTACCACAACTATTACAGTAATTTAAATAGTTTTTTCTCAATCTGTCCCCTGAAAAGTCGCTACTTTTTTAGTTACAGCAGTTTAGTTGCCAGGCAACAATATTTATATCTCCAAACTTTGAATATGAATTGTACTAAACAACCCATCAATAGTTCTTTTTAAACATAATCAATAAAATACAGTGAAATCAAAGGAAAATAAACTAATGTTACAGCACACACCCTTTCAAAGCCCCCCCCCCCCCCCCCCCCCTCCACTGTTCAAGGTTCTATGGCTCAGCTTTGACTTCTTTGAATTTCTCAGCTTCATCATACCTCAGAATATATAACTGACACATTTTTCTGATCCCCTAGGGGACAGTATGCCAGTATCGCTGAACACATGTACATAAACCAGAGTAGTTGGTGAGACCACAGGTGGGATCTACTTTTTCAGAGTGCATGTTTTGTTCCTATCTCTGTCATCTTCCTACTGGTAAGAAAAAAATCTACAGCACAACCTGTATTTAATTCTTTAGTACTTCTAAACTTCAAAGGAACAAGGAAAAAAACATTTAGTCTGTCAATAACTGCACACATGTACAAATCATAACCCATTAGTCATTTCCGCCATTTTCAGAGCAATTTTAAGAAAACAGTCAGAATAGCAATTTAAAGAGAGTAAACAATCTTTAGGTACCTTTACACTACAAGCATCTGAGATGCCATTGCTAGACAGAGATATTGAAATATTCCCTAACTAAAAACAGATGAAGACTTTACCTTGTGGATAAAAGATGCAAAGCATTTACAAGCTACATACCAGAGAGCAAAACTCCCTTACCTTAATATCAGCCTGGTTTTCATCCAGCTTTGCCTTCAGATCCGCAATCATTTCTTTTTTGGTTTCATCATCCTCTTCCTCTATTTCTGAAATAAATTTTAAACCCCCATTAAGTAGGCTTGAGAAGAAAGAGGGTCGGAGCCATAAGAAAAGCCATAAATTATTGTTTAATTTGATTTTTGAATTGGATCTATAAAAAGTGGTAGGAGAAAACAAGCCCACTGCCTCTCAATATCCTCAAAATACAAGAATGAAAACAAACTGAACCACATGTTTTTACTTCACCCATGAGTTTCAACAAATTTCAAAGGTACAATATAAGCAGAAGAATAATGAGACAGAAAACAAAAATGTGTATGACATATAACCAGACACTGACCAATTAACATCATCTGTAATTTTGAGAATGGTACCTATACATTATGAGAGTGATGAAAACCAAAAATAACAAAGACAAAAGGCAATCAATTCAAAATCAAGGTACATAATACAATAAGTTTAATAGTACACACCCCCATCCAGTAGGAAAAATATATTATTTTCTCAAATAAGCTCACCTTGAGTATGCCCTTCGGGACTGAATGATATCAGGTCTGCAGGTCGAGGAGGGGGGCGCTTGGGAGGGGCAGGAAAAGACTGCGGTCGCGGTGGCTGTCTTCTTGGAACTTGCATTGTCATTGGCGGAGGTGGTGCAGTAACACTGCTGTTGTTTACATTATTTGCATCTTTGTTTTCAGCCAGAGCCACATTCTGAGTACCTGGCACAGGGGGCTTGGGGGCAGACCTAAGAGGAACAGGCTTTGGTCTGGACTCAACCTTTACAGGGACCAGAGGTGTCTTTGATGGTGCAGAGGCCATCCGCGGGCCAGTGGGACGAGGGGGCGGGGCCTTCAGCTTGGCAGAAAATGCAGGGGTGTCGACTGATACAGAAGAGACAGGTCTAGGAGGTGGAGCTCGCGTGGGTGGTCTAGACGGTGGTGGTGGTCGAGTGGTGCCTAAACGGAGTAGATTTCCTTCATCTACTTCCATCTGAAAAGCTTTGTTCACAAATGCTGCGCCTTGAGATGGGTGTTCCTTGACGCTACTATTGCAGTCAGCTCTCTGTGGCACTTTGCTACGTTCAGTGTAGGAGGCTGAACGTCTTCTATCAGAGTCACTGCTATTGCCAATATCTGCATCATTCATACTCAAGGAGGGAGCTAGCATACCCCTGCGGCTGGATGCTCCAGAGGGATGCTGTGGTTGGTTCCTGACAGGGGACTGTGATACTACTGGAGAGCTGAGAGGATCAAAAGAGTTCATTATCACATTCTTTTCTCCGCTGCTGTTCCACTGCGTGCTTACTGATGGAGTAGTCGGCGGGAGAGAAACAGAAGAAGCTTTCTGTCCACTTGTGAGAGTTGTGGCCACTCCTGCCGATGATGAGCTCACATCACTGAGAGCATCTGAGCTCTGAGAAGATGTTCTGCTTTTCGCTTTTTCAATCTCTCCTTCAATCAAAGTGTCTAAAACTCTTAGCCCATCTCCAGGCTTCTCAGACGGAGGTATAGCACGGTGGGGATGGGCAGCCGAGCCACTTGTGTAGGAAAAGGAAAAACTTTTGGGAGAATTGAAAGACTTAGGCTTTGGAGCGAGTGAAGGTTTGGGGGCTATTGATGGCTTTGGTAACAGAGGAGGTTTGTCCCTTGGAGGTAAAGACTGTCGCCTCAGCCCCATATTAGGGGTTGTGGAAGGTAAAGGGGGTTGACTTTTGGCTACAGGAGCTGGTCGCCGAGGGGTATAAGTCCTTTCAACTTTTTGGCCTGATGAGACTTTTCTGTTTTCTGCTTTTTGACTAGCCAAGCATAATCCACTGTCTATCTCTGGTTGCTTTTCATGCTCTAACCCTTCAGACAGAGGATCCAATTTTTTTTCTGAAATCCCAGATCCTTCAAAGCTGGAAGCTTCTGAGATTGCACCCTCTAAGTTTGATGAGGTAGTGATTTGAGACTTTGGGTCAGATATCATAGATAGTATCGATCCAGCAGCTCGGTGACTTTCACTCTCTAGCGCCTTTGCTTGTGAGCTATTATCCACAGCAGCAGGGGGATCTGGAGAAAAGGAACTTTCTTGTGGGCCAGAAGGCTGGGTAATCGCAGAATCTACAGGTGGGACTGGGGCACTTGTGGAGTCAGATGAAACAGACCCAGATCTGCTGTCCACCTTAGGCCATGGTCCAATGATTTCTACATGGTTCCTCGGCACAAGACCTGTAAGACCAGCCTCCGTTTGGACCTCAAGCCAGTTCTCATCCACTTGCCGGATCACTTCCACAGTATCCCCCTCTGACACAGACACATCTCCAGATACTTCAGCTGTGAATGCGTGGAGAACCAGACCGATTTCATGAGACGCTTCTGCAGCTTCATTTACAACACTTGAGGACAACTCAACTTTTCCGACCACACTTGCAGTAATCACAGGAAGACTACCAACATCTTCGCTTGCTGCATCCCCAGCTGACAAAAATCCATTCTGCTGAGACTCATCAGTTTCCCTCTGTAGAAATTGTTTTGCTTCTACATTCTCATAGTTTTCGACAGAAGAATGCAGCTTTGTCGACTCTAAATCAGACTCAAGCTCGGAACTATACATCTGACTATCATTGTAAGCATAAGGACAATCTACTATGACCTCCATGAACCCAGTAGGAAGCAACCCCCTCCTGCCATCCACTTCCCCTTCTGTCCAATCCGCATCCACGTGCTTGATCAAAGTGACAATCTGATTCTCTGACACAGAAAGCTCAGTCGGTAACTGAGCTGTGAAAGAGTACAAGATCCTCCCATAGGGTGTAATTTCTGCATCATGCGACCTCGTATTTTCACTTGTGTATGACCCGTTGGACGAATTTCTCCCACGATAATCCTCACCAGCAGAAGAAGGCCGTGAGCCTACTCCAGCCATATTAGAAGTCTGATCTGGTCGAAGTGGCACCGATCCAGTCTCAGAAGACAAAGAGAAAGCAGAGTTTACTACCTTATCGCCTCCTGAGTCATCTTCTAGAAGCTCAACACAAACTGCTGAAACAAGACCCTCCTTGTTACGACAACGTCCGTACATCCAGTCATCGTCTAGAATCTCAGTTATTTCTATGAGATCCCCAGCCTGAAATGCCAACTCTCCGTCCAGCTGCGGTGACACGCCGACAAGCGCACGAGCAAAGACTTCGCTGACACGAGTGATCCCATCGTGCACACTCTCCACATGGGAGTTGAGACTGCTCGACCGTGACTTGAGGCTGCCTGAACGTGCACTGGCTGACCTTGACCTCGGCCCGTCATCTTGTTCCAGCTCTGCGACAAAAGTCAGGGGGAAAATACCTTTTAAGGGTCCAGACTTGCCCCGCCACCATGACTCATCCACAGCTTCGGTTCCGACAAGGATGTCACCTGCAAAGAGTATGAGAGTGAGTATTATTATACACACTTGCTACATATTGACAAAGCAAACATAAAAAATAGCCATTACATCCCCCCCCCCCCCCCCCCAAACACAAGAGTTAATTTTCATTACCATTTGCAAACTCCAAACAACTATTCCATCTAAAACAGTAAGAGCTATTAAGAGTACCATATGCACTGAAAATCAATTCCGGAGGTTATTATTTGTTTTTCTCCTTTTTCTGTTATTTCCCATTCGTTATTTTTCTCCTTTTCTATTTCTGTTCTGTCACTTCTTCATCGAGTACAAGATCTGAAACAAGAAATGGTGGCATATCCCTCAACTTCGTTCTACGCTCCACTGCAGAGGAGCCAACACTTTGAACTTCTGAAGAATTTTCCAAGCTCTGCATACAAAAAAATTGGCCCAACTCTACTAGAGATGGATGTTGAATTCAGAGGTTCCACATCTTAAATAGCCATACCAAGTTTTATTGTCCGACACAATGCAAAAGATCTTTTTTTTTAAGCCCCAAGCAACCCATATGTGTGGCGGCACATGAAAATTCGTAACTTCTCATTGGGGATGTTTCCAAGACATGTATGATTAAAGTCCATAATGAGTCACCAAGGAAAAATTGGAGTCTGCCACGAAATTAAATGTATGACTCCTTTGTATTATTTCCAACTAAAATCATCACGACAATCAGTGTATTCATAAACATGTAATTGTAAGGTTTTTTTACGCTACCCTAATATCAACAATTTAGGACTAACAAAGCAGCATTCATAAGACAATTTTTGATTGCCTTGGTCAATCAATATGCAAACGCATTTTTACATCCATTTTTGTGCATTATACTTCAAAACGCTACTTATATTTAGAATTACCTAAAAGAGTCATATATTTGATTAGCAAATAAAAAAATGGATTTCACTTCAAACGCCATTTTTCTCCGTATTATATCTTCTGTGCACTATGTCATTCAAATGGTCATAACGTTTGAACTGTTGAAGGTAACGTTGTGAAATAAAAGGTAAATTTTTCAGAAAGTTGTCCTGAATAAAAAATATGTGCACATCTAAAAAAGCATGTTTTGATCCACATAAAATGTTGAGTCCAGCCTGCTAAATTTTTCCTTCACGAAAAAATGAGTGCTTGTTTCTTGTGTACACAAATAAACAAGTGAATAAATTAATCACTTGCCGTATTGGACTGAATTGAACAGTGGGTGGGCAGAGGTGGATCGTACACCACAAAGGTTCACTATTTGCTACCAAAGACACTGCTTGTTTGTGATGTCATCAATGAATAAGTGAGCTGAGCTGGCAAAACTAATCTAGGCTTACTTGCACATTCATGACACCACAATGTCACAATGCAGTCCCACTAGTGCCTTGAATGTCAATCTTCAAGAAACAATGCACATTTTGAGCAGAAATTTTTTCATCTCCCCCCCGCCCGCTTCCGATGTCCGCAATCAATCATCTGCTCATTTCTAGACTTGGTACTGAATCAGTAGGCTTAGATTTAGGCCTATCAAGCGCTTGCTTTAACACTGCGCCTGCTTTAACACTAGGACACAACACAACAAGGCCCCTCGTTAGGTCAAGCCTGTTGAACAACCACTCCTTGTCTACGAACGGCGGTCCCACAAATGTCAAATTCAGGGTGATCAGCGATACGTCTTGCCTATAGCAGACGGTATTAGTAAATTGTTTAGCTCTGTGCTTGCAAACCAATTTGCTCAATTTTAAAACGCACCCTCTGCGTTCAACGGTAACGAATCAATTTCCAGCACAGGCTACACCATTAATGTGACGGGTTTTCGCATGCCAAATACACACCCTTTAAATTCCAGAAATGTCCAGAGATGACACTGGAAATAAAATTTCCCTTCAATAAAACAAAATAAAACATCAAGCCCATACCTTTGGTCAGTTCAAGATCTCCAATCTGATCAGCTGGGAAATCCTGAAGCGCTAAGAACAGCTTTTGGCCTGTACGGATCGAAGGCAGAACCAGCGGTTCCACAAAAGCTCGAGGGAAGTTCCCAGAACTTTCAGAATTGCCCCCGACCTTTGACCCAGTGACCCAGCCTTCATCAACAACATCTGTGACCTTGACCACATCTCCCACTGTAAGGCTGAGGTCGGAGGCCGTCTCTCCATGGAAGTCATAGACTGTCTGCACATACTGGCCGATTTGCACCATAATCTGCAGGGAAAGGGAGGACAGGTATAAAATGAGAAAATGTCTAATGAAAACTTACGGTTGGAGGAAAAGAGCCACTCCAGCCTTCCTTACCATTTTAAGAAAGGGTCATAACCAGCCTACATTAGATTTGCTCCAGACTTAAAACAAACTCATTTTTACTAATTTGGGGACACAAATTCGAAAATAATACTGGTATTTGAGGTTTGGGGGTATGTTTTATTTACATAGCTTGATGATGATTTTTTTTTATTTTTTTTTTAATGCACATTGAGAAAAGATCAATTGTTTAAGGCTGCAAATAGCTTTTAGTTGGAAGGGGCAATTAGTATGAAAGTTGCAATCTTTAAACTAAGTAGTACGAGATTCTCCTCACCAGCCTTATGTCCTCCATATCGAATGATCATATTATGAACAACAGAAGCAGCTCTCCATGGAATGAATAGACTTTGATTATATTCTTAAAAGCAACACAGCTGTTATATCATCAAAAGAGACCATATTATGGAAAAAAATTCACTTTTTAAACATGCAACCACCAAAGAACAATGTCAGCATTCATCTGTATTCCTCATTAAGAACGATGAGATAGTAAAGTCATTGAACACCTAAATGATCACGAAACCACTAATCAACTGAATTCATAATGTCATAGCTTTCTGAGTCAAAGCTTAGGAGATAACATTAACATCAAATTCAAAGTGGACCACAGCTATCTTTTATCACATCTCTCCAGGCTAATTGAGATAAATGAGGGATAAGCTCAGCCCTGGGCATAATAAATACAATCCTGACCTCACTTTAAATGAAATGAGGGCAGCATAGAAACCATTTCAAAATATCACAATAACTGACGATGAGATTTAGCAAAGTAATGAAATCTTAAAAATGTATGTCTTTTTCTCTCTGATCTTCACATTTCTCAGCGAAGAATGCCATTGGATAATAATACACCAAAATACATTTCATAATTTTTTTTTTTAAAGGCAATCAACCGATTGAATAATCAAATAACAATGCAAATATGGTAGGAAAAAAGATTTATCACATAATTTAAAGCCAAGCAAAAAGTGTAGCGTGACCAATATATTTCTAATCAAATGAGGGCTATAAAAGCACATTAAATTTATTAGCATCAAATCTATAGTTTGCTTTTAAGATATTATGGGTTGTGGCAAATTTTTTTAGGTTAACTGGGTGGTTCAAGAAAAAATGTCCTCTACTAGGACCCGATATATATATTATGCATATATAATACATGGGGACTTGATGAATTGAATACGAACAGGAAAAGGCTGTCATTCAGGCACAATTACACACAATTTCAGGCTTCAAGTTTTGGCCTCAACCAACTGTGGAGTGCCATTTGGCTCCATCAGCAATTACTTCTGGTTCTAAACGATTACTTTTCGATGAGCGTGACAAATGTGTTCGATGCGCTGAGAGTGACAGATATCAAACCTAATTGTGTTGTTGTTGCTGTTGTTAGCGATCCAGTAGCATCTGAGCTTTAACTCTTCTGCATGATGCCATTCGGTAATAGTTGCATGTTTGTTCTAATTGTTGTCTCGAGGAGTAGAGGCAATTAGATGTGTGGGGTAGCTTGGGAAGAAAACATCGTTTGGCGATACTGTTCCGTGTTCCGTTGAAGTGAATCGTGAATCGCGTTCCGCAGGAAAGTGTGACGATTCAGTTCCGTTCTCGCGCTCATGACCCAGCCCTAGTGCATACTCTCAATATTTGTTTAAATGAAACAATAACAATCCCTGCGGGAGCCTAGAAAAATCGGCCAGCGCTCTGGGGAAGGTCACGAACAGTCACTCTTACAATTCTCAACTCACAAATTATTTTCTGTATCATCCTATTAGCCAACATGTAGGCCTACCCATTCTCAACACCCAGGTAGGCCTTAGAAGAATAAAAATCCATTGCATTCTCAGACCAGGTGAGAATAATTCATTTTAGGCAGGCGCTATTTGCAACGCCACGTTCTGAATAGCGCCCATGCTATTTGCAACGCCACGTTCTGAATAGCGCCCATGCTATTTGCAACGCCACGTTCTGAATAGCGCCCATGCTATTTGCAACGCCACGTTCTGAATAGCGCCCATGCTATTTGAAACGCCACATTCTGAATAGCACCCATGCAATTTTAAACGCCAGTACTAGATCTAGTAGCCACCGTTTCTAAGATCTAATAATATTGTAGTTTTGCCTGAATTGTGGAAGCTTTCTCAGTTTCTTGATAAACCTCTAGGATTTGACTTTTTTATATATGACTTTTTCTTATTCCGATCAATATAGGGTAGATCTAGATCTAGATCTAGAACAAGATCTAACAACTGTTTCTGACACTGACATTGTTTGCACAAAAGTAGGCCTAGTCTTGTTCATAGTTCATCTCATAATCATTTATCATTTGAGTTTGAGTTTTTAAGCAAGTTTTTGTTGAGTCAAAAGACGCTTGATAAACAATAACAAGCCGCAGTGTCGTCATACATATGGGCCCTACCTAAAAAATAATAGACATGTATAATAGATTAAGAATATCTCAAAGTGCACTTTATATTTTGCCATCACAAAATGACGTGATCGCCTGATCTTGATCTAGTCCTTGGAAGAGATTGTCTACACATGCTCTATCTAATGTTGAACAGTGCTTTCAAGCATGGCATCGAATCCCGGTCCCGGAAGGGTTTTTTTTTCTTCTCCTGAGCCTAAAATAATTTTTTTTCAATAATTAGACTCACAGACCAAGGAAACCCACTATTGAACTTTAACCATTGGCCTAAATTGGTAAAAGGAAACTTGTCTACTTTGTAGAAGAAAGCTTCTCAAGATTACGGACAAAACCATCATCACTACACTACATAAAAAACAACAAAGCAACAAGTTCTAATTATGGGAAAAAATTGTTGGTCAATGGGGAAGAGGAGAAGAAGAGGAAAAAAAAAACTTCCAGAACCGGGATTCGAACCCAGGCTCATAAAATGATGGTTTTTGGCTTCATACGCAGACGCGCTGTCCATTCGGCAATCAGAACTCCCAACAACGGAAGGTAGATTAAGCGTTATTTATAACACATCACAGCGTTTTGCTTAGCACTGGCGCTAATCGCAACGCGGCGTTTGATCACTGGTGTGCTAATTCCAATGCGGCGTTGAAAATAGGCACTTCCTTCATTTTATTCTCACCCGGGGTGAGAATAACAAAACATTTTATTCTCACCCCCGGTGAGAATAAAATGGATATTATTCTCACCGGGGTGAGAATAATTAATTAATATCACATTTTAATTTTCACCGCAGGTGAGAATAACGACAGCCGTGAGAATAACCACTTCCAATGCTCATGCTAAGGCCAAAACCGAAACCCCTACTCAAAAGTCCCTTCTTAACTGGAAGTGGCTATTTTCACCCGGGGTGAGAATAGAAATACACGATCTACCTCTCACCCTAGGTGAGACTTGCCAGCGTAGGCTATTCTCACCCGGTGAGAAACAAGACCTGTTTTTCCTCATTTTGGAATACTGTCTATCGGTGTGGATGATCAAATTGATAAAAGCCAAGAAAAAATTACGTTATTTATATATAGCACAAAAGTAAGCTCATTTGATCATCTTCAAAGATGCTATGGCTATTTCAATTTTCGAATCGAGCCGAACTACGCGGGTCGCCATTTTGTTTTGCCCGGAAGTTCTCACAAGATCTACTCCTCCCCTCTCTCTCTCTCTTTCTGAATACTGTCTATCGGTGTGGACGATCAAATTGACCAAAACAAAGTTATAAAAATGATGTAAAATAGTACTAATAGTACTTAGCAATGCCAATCGCCCGCTGCGCCTTGGGCCGGAAATCGGCCTCCGCGCGAGGGATAATTTTTGGGTCACTCAGAATCAGAAGTGACTCTCTTTTAAGTATAGTTACTGGAAAACTTCTGGACGAAAATAAATGAAACTCGGCAACCAACCAGAGGAAAGGTTAAACTAACGACATGCCAGCGTACAATCCCGAACGATTACTACTAGTACTAGAACCGGAGATATTGCAGTGTTTGTGCGAATTTCCTCTGCGGTTCAAAAACTAAGCAGAGCTACGGGTTGATCGCCGACCACACAAGCGCCCCACATGTCTTCTTTATTGCTGTAAAATTTCAGATCTCTGCGTTTAGTACATTTTCCGTACCAACTTAAAATTACCACCCATCCATTGATAAAACACTAGATCTGGAAACTTGATCACGCATTCCAAACGCGAGGTGCCGGCATGCAAGAGGCGCGTGACCGCTAGGCGGCATGTGATTGGCTGCCTATAATCAAATAGGTCACCAATGACTACATCGCGGGTTTTCCCGATACGCTTTAACTGAGTTTTAGAAAGGGTGATGGCGTTGCGGTAAAAACGATGTCACGCAATTCAACAAATTTCATGCAAATATATTGAATCAGTCTTTAAGATCCAAAGTAATAAAGACATCGAAAAAGTGATAGCAGAACTAGATTCTGCACTAAAAATCACATGGAGATGCCAAGTTTCATTCATACGCTCCAATTCATTACTGACTTTTATTAACAGTTTTTTCTCAAAATACATCAAAACATGTCCCACATTTTGGCGATTTTTTCCTTTAAGGTCCTCCAACATTTTGCAAACAAAAATCCCAATAACTTTTTTATTTTATCAATGGATTTTTAAATTTAAAAACCATAGTTCTTAGAATTTACTCTATTTTCATTTAAAAGCCCATTTTTCAAGCAATTTGGATGAAAATTTAATTTTTCATTGTCATTGCTATAAAAAACATAACTAAATTAATTTGGTTGTCTACAAAGATGCTACGGCTATTTAACTTTCCGAATCGAGCCGAACTACGCGGGTCGCCATTTTGTTTTGCCCGGAAGTTCACGCGCTACTCCTCTCTCTCTCTCTTTTCTCTCTCTCCACTGCCCACAGACAAAATTGAACGCTTTTAGGCTAAAAACACTAACAGAGTAGTAATAGATCTAGAACGTTTGTTCACAGCACAGAATTCTATAATTCTGTTATCACAGTGTAAAATTCTGTGGTTCAGGGTGAACGCTTCACTGGTTGGCCTAGGCTATAACAGTGAACGCCCAGCGGGTGAGAATTTAGCCAAAAGACTCGCCTGCGCTGTTCTCACCCGGGGAGGTGGCCTTCTTTACTGCGCCTACTAAAAAACTAGAATCTAGGTTGGAGTGGTGGTCGCTCATTATGGAAGTCCCTCCATTCCTAATCTCTGGGCCTGAAACCTGGAGATACACTGTTGCGGGGCTGCAGTTACTCATACAGGATCTACTCAACTCAACCGATGTCAACTGTACAGACTTGTGCTTGTACTTGACTTTGACTGCACTGACAGAACACTTGACAACAATCAAGAATTATTATGAACGTTGAAAAACGTCTGAGTCTCAGTCTTTTCTCCTGTGAAAAATCGACACCATTCTTTAGATATGCACACCACACTAAATGTCTGCTGAAATTATGTACTTACTTCATATATATACAAGATGCATGATCTTACGTTCAATGTGCCAAACAAATCTGCAAAGAAAACATTGTGAACGGTAATGTCAACAATGGTAACTTCCTACTACGACGCCATATTGCCGAGAGTGTACAATGTAACGGAGATTTCAGCACATCACCGAATGTTGCCGCAAAATATATGTGATGGATAATAATTATAGTAGTAGATCTATCTGTGAACTGTTGGCTAAAGTCGTCTTAGTATAAAAATAATATGTAATGTTTGATGTTTTTCTGCCTGTCACCAATAATATTTTAACTTTGCCTTGGTTTATAAAAAGGTAGGCCTACTGATATATTCTTTCAAATTATATCTTTATTTTTCAAAGGATAGGCGGGCCTAGAATAATTAATTAAAACATGCAAGTAGCTATAAAAACTGAAATAATTAAGGAGTCATGCAGGCTCCAGCAAATGAAAGCAGATTATAAGAGGAGTTAGTGAAGGATGCATAATATTATTTCACAGGTCTCTTTTACTTATACTTATAGCCTACAGTGAAACAATCCGAGGGGGCTCTCGTGGTCCAGAGTTTATAATTATTATTATGGTGTTCGCCTCTCATGATTCAGTAGGTCCCGGGTTCGAAACCTGAAATCGACCACAATCACACCCCCTCCACACGCACACAAACACACACACACACACACACACACACACACACACACACACACACACACACACACACACACACACACACACACACACACACACACACACAATTTCAACTAACCCCCCCCCCCTCCCCTCCGCACGATTTTCCCTCCTCTACCCATCCAAAGATCATATCACGAGAACAATCTCCAGGGCGAGAAAAGGACTAACAGCCCAAGATGATGGCCAGAGCTAAGATGAGCCAGAAAATTCTTGTCATCCTCTACTAGACACTGATACTCTCTGTAGCAGAGTACGGGCTCGGACTTTTGATCCTATCAAAGGCGCACCTGCAGCTACTCGAGGTGTTACAAAATGAAGGACTGAGGGCAATCCTGGGGTGCACAGGAGACGAGACACCTCAGCTGAAGAAATGAGATACTTCCTGGACTTCTCATGTTCAGACGAGAGACACAAACTGGCACAAGTCCAAGCCTTTCTGCGAGTCATGGACCAAACGAACCCTCTGCATAAAAAGTGGAACGGCAGATGACACCAAGGCTAAAGAGGGGCACGGAATGGATGACTTAAGCCACGAACACCATCAATGGGTGCTGCCAGATATAAGACATCAGGAGAGGCAGGGATTGGGTCGTGGTCGAATATATGCGATCGGAGCACAACAGTGAAGGCAACATTGGGTAGAGAATGTCGCAACTGGCCACTTGCAGCTACAAACGCTGGTATTTAAACCCTGATAGAAGAGAATAGCAAACATGGAGATGTTGTGATCTTCACGGATGGATCAGTCAACAGAGGAGTCAAATCGGGGTGGGCCTTCAGTGTCAAGAGTTGATAGGGGTAGTAGTGAAAGAGCAAAGTGGAGCAACTGTACTGACAACATCAAGTATGTGTATGGAGATTTAAGCCATAAGTGAGGCTCTACACTGGATCAAGAACACAAGCCATCAGCGAGCAGTAATCCCTACTGACTCTATGAGCACACTACAGAAGGTACAGGAAGGGATGCTGTATGCGGACTGGAAGGCTACGATCAGCCTAGCAAGAGTGGCCTGGATCTTCTGCCCAGGCCACGCGGGGGTAACCGGCAACGAGAGAACAGACAAGCTGGCTGGAGAAGCAAAAGTGGGAGGGAATTTGACACTGAACTCATCAACCGTCCTATCCTCTGTAAGGGAAAATTTGAGGAAGAATAGGGCGGATAGCGGTTCCCACACTCTGGGTAGATTGAAGGGGAAGGGGATCCAAAGATGAGAAGGGAAACACAGCCACCTAAGCAGACAGACTCTGGGATGGATCCTGAAGAGTGGGGA